CTGTTATTTAATCAGTGACATCAGCAGACATAATCTGGCAGTAGAGAGACAGAGCCAAAGATTTTTCACCTGCTGTCTTATTGATTGAATCATTTTGGAGTTTGTCAACTCTGAGTTTGTTTACCTGAAAGAAATATTAAATCATATTTGAAACAGTGGACATCTTTGGTTGCTTTTGGTCATTTCATTTCATTGCATGTGTAGAGACAAATGCTCTGCTGTGACAACCTCAAACTGGTAGATAACTATGTCATTACACTCAGTGTTTATCAGCCTTTAAAGCTCATTTTATTTGTTGAGACTTTATTCCTCCAGCATCATGCTCGTCCTCTCTTGGCTGACAAATACTTATTCTTATATAACGAAAGAAAGAAAGGATGATAATTTTCAATTGCCTAGCTAGAACAACAGGAACACATGGAGAAATAAATTTCCACTGTTTTTCTTTAATCATCAAGAAGAACAGCATAAAGGATATTCATATATATTTCATACATATAAGTTGTGTTTTTAAATGCTGTCTGTATAATTGTTCCTCATTTTTCCATTTCCTGTTCTCTTCTTCTCTCACTTCCTGTTCTTTCTTCCTCTCCTCACGCTCCTTCTTTATATTTTCCTCCATCTCCTTGAGTTTCTGGTCTCTTTCCTGCTGAAGTTTTTTCTTCTCTTCTTCCATCCTTTTTGTCATTGCTTTCATTTCTTCCTCATGTTTTCTTTCAAGGTCCTCTCTCTGTCTCTTCATCTCTTCTTCCTTATCCTTGAGAATCCTCTGCATCTCCTTCTTTATTGCTGCTTCAGCGTCTTGCAGCATCGCATTGGTGAAGCAGTTTCCTCCACTTTCCTTCATCATGGTGTCAATCTTTGTCATCAGCTCACTGACTTGTTGGCGGTTTTGTGTCTCAGAGTTTTCAAACACATGGTATCTTCCTCCACAGTCAGCAATCAGCTTCTTAAAGGAATCATCACATTCCCTTTCAATATAATCTTTAATAGACATTTTTTTAAGCTTATCTCCTTCTGTAAAAAGAATGATGGTGAACTTTTCTGAATTCGGCCCAAAACCTTCCTTTATGAGTTTTAATGTCTTCTTCTCCTCATCTGTGAGACGACCAATATTTAACACCAGCAGGAAGACGTGTGGTCCTGGAGCCAGAAGACTGATGCATTTCATCATCTCCTCCCGAACTTCTTCATGTGACAGAGTTGTGTCAAACAGACCAGGAGTGTCGACCACAACAACAGGACGCAAACAGACCAGGGGCCCGTTCTTCGTACCGCGCTAAGTGAGTTAGCTGGATGAGATTGTTGACGATTTCGCGTGATCCTGGATCGTTCGGTTCCCCGAAGCCCATCCGGGACTTGCTGTCATAGCAACAGAGCCGTAAGCGTAAACCTGCTGGGGAGCAGGCTCACTTTATGTAAACAGGATTAGATCGCGGCCACGCAGGTATGCCCGCGTCATTCATACGAAAGCAACAGCGATATTCCACCACTGTTTCACCATAAATAAATAACATCAATGTAACTAAAGATAATGCAGCACTTGATCCTTTTATTGATGTCACACAGATACATACAGGTCATTTCCTAAAAAAGGGAAATGTACTATTAACATTCTATTACATGTATGTGATTATTACAGATTTAATTCATATTTTAGAGTAGTAATTGTAAATTACTTCATGTAATCAAGATGAGAGACCACGGCTATAAAGCGAAGGTGGATTTGGGAAGTCTGTCGCAGCCATGTCCTGTCCGTTTACGCGAGCCACCCATTGTGGAAGGTGCAAGATTGATAAGGAGAGTCCTCAGAATTCAGCGTATATTGCGGGACAGACAGGATCCTTTAGCTCAGCGCGACAGTGTGCTCATAGAGAGATATCGATTTTCCCGTGAGGGTATTATTTACTTAACCAACTTGTTGACGAGGGGGTGCAGGACCACCACCTGTCTTTTTTTGCTCTGCCCTTTTCTTGGTTGCTGTTATAAACAAACAGATTATTCCAGGGTCTCTTTCCAAGAGACGACAAGCAATATAAGTGATAAATATTACCATTCTGTAGAATATTCTTATATTTCACTTTTACCTGTTCTCATGTTCTAGTGGGTCCTGTTGTGGCTCTAATGTGAAAGAGGATAAAATATAACATATTATAATATAATGTAATATAATATTGAATAATATAGTGTAATATAATAAATTTACCCTACCGCCTACTGGTGTTGGCCAGAGGGGCCGATGGTGCGATATGGCAGCCTGGCTTCTGTCAGTCTGCCCAGGGCAGCTGTGGCTACAACTGTAGCTGCCTCCACCAGTGTGTGAATGTGAGAGTGACTGAATAGTGGCATTGTAAAGCGCTTTGGGTGCCTTGAAAAGCGCTATATAAATCCACTCCATTATTATTGTTATTATTAAATTACTTACGAGTTTAATTTGTCAGCAACTTCCTGCCAGCCCTCGCTCCTTGCTTTTGCAGCCTTTGCAGTGTTCCCTTGCGTTCTGATTAAACTCTGAAACTCCTGAAATCCCTCACTCAAGAGTTCTTGCTCTGCTGCCGAAAAATACCGAGCCGAGCGCGCTCCGTCGACATTTTCGCCGACCAATCAGAGGGTTGCCGATCAATGTTTCTACTATCAATGCGTAGCCCCTTTTACGACACCCAGTGATGTCACATTACTGCGTCCAGCTGTACTAATCGTCAACAGCAGGTGTGTTCGGGGAACCGGATTAGCGCGCTCACGGTTAGCGCGATGGTTTGGTCTTGGATGTTTCATTTGATCTTGGATGTAGTAAGCGACGTACGAAGCACAGGGCCCTGAGTGGCCGCGATCTAATCCTGTTTACATAAAGTAAGCCTTTGTCTTCATTCCTTACGGCTCTGTTGCTATGACAGCAAGTCCCGGATGAGCTTCGGAGAACCGAACGATCCAAGATCACGCGAAATCATCCCCTGAGGTCCGTTCTTCGTACCTCGCTAAGTAAGTTAGCTGGATTTGATTGTTGACGATTTCGCGTGATCTTGGATCAGCCCACAGTCCACAGACATGCATGAGTTACATTACTTGGCAATTCTAAATTGTCCGTAGGTGTGAATATGATGACTGGTTATCTGTCTGTGTAACCCCTACAACTGATTGGCGACTCTTCTAGGGTCTACCTGCACAGTGATTAACTTGCAAAAATGTATTTCATTACAATGTTTGGATACAGTTTTTCTCCTTTCATATATCATAAAATAGATTTGCAAAATATTTCTCTGGAAAAGACAAAATCTCAAACACTCAAACAGAGCGTGATCACTGAAAACAAAGATGGTGTGGTACAGACCCAGGTCATATAACCAATATCACAGTTCTCTGGTAATTAAGTCCTAACACAAAGTCAGTGTCAGTGTTAAGGTGCTGGGACAGCAGCTTTGGAAAAAACTGAATTTTTTCTTCCAAACATACGAGTGTTTTAAGTTACATGTAAGTAGAAAGACCGATACAGAAAACTGTTCCCAAAACAAGGAAATTTAGGTTCAAGTGACAAATTCTTTAGTGCCAAAAGATTTATGTTAACAATGCATTAGATCCCAAAATCTCTGGCTTGGCCACGAACAAACTCGTGTTTGGCTCTGGATTCATTGAGACTGATGGTAGCAGGAGAAATAAGACGTCTGGAACCAACCACCAGTAAAGGAAGTCAGTTGTCACAGAGGAATCTGGATTTTCCAGTATGATGGTGCCTGTGTTTGGCTTTGCCGCTGCCGGCTGTAGTTTGTCTCACTCTAATTTAGTGCTGTTCTTTCCAGTCTTTTTGCTTTCGCTTTTTGTCGCTGATGTGTTGGCTGCCCTACTCTATGATCGCCTGACGCTGTTATCCATCCAATCCTCTATGTTGGGTCAAGATACCTCATCCTTCTGTGATGGTATTTTCGATCACCGGTATCTGGATCTTCGTCAGGTGTCATCAGTGGTGCTTTTCTGGATCCACGCAAATCACGGAGGAGGAGAGGAAAAAGAGCAGGTGTCCAGGTGAAACTCAGACTACCGTAATATGAGTGACATGTATAAAAGAGGATTTACTGTTTATGGTATTTGAGTTCCTGTTGCCTTCCTATCAGCTTGAGGTAATCTGGCCATTGTCCTCTGACATCAACAAGGCATTTTCACCCAGAGAAGTGCTGCTCACTGGATATCACCGGATATCCAGTGACCTCCAGTCTCAGTGCAGTACCTCATCCTTAGATTTGCTTGAAAGGAATATTTGGATGAGCGGCTGTGACTGAAAATATGTATTTCTATTTGTTACAAGTAAGCCTCGGGCAGTGTGTTACTGCTATTGCTCGTCTCCTCTTCGAGCTTTTTCTAAGCCAATGTTGTCTTGGCCAATACAGACCAGTCTGTATACAACGGAAGGGAATATATGAAAAAGTTCATAACCCTGATTCTTATATATATATTCACTGAAGGTTTTATATGAACAACTTAAAATGACGAGGTTTTTGTGGCTCAGAGTGAGGCTTTGGTAGATGATTACACTCATGCAAAAAATGAGACAAAACTGAGTTTTTATCATATCACATTCAAAATATGCATTTTTTAAAACCTGTAAATAAACAAAGAAACCAAAGTAAAAAAAAAATAAAAAGTCAAACTGACTTCTTAAAACCTCTTTTTGGTCAGCAACAATTCCTCTATGAAGGAAACCCTGAGCTAACAGAAACAAAATAAACAAGAGAAACGTTCTGAAATAGCTCAGGTGAGACATTTTCTTCTGTTTCCTAAAGTGATAATGTTCATTAATATAATGTAAGAATTTATTAGAGATCAAAGAATTTATTTTTTAAAACCACGTTATCACAGATCCTGTAAAAATAGTAATTAAAGTTGTTGGTTGTCTTTTTACATCTAATACAAAAATAAAAACACAAATGATGCAGAAAATAATAATATCATCATATTTTCACATGTACAGGTATTTAACATTCGGTTTAAATGACAAATCAATGAATGTACTAGCTCTGTGTGAGATAAACAGCAGAATATAAAGTTTAAATCATGATCACATACACTTAACGAGAGTGATGGACATTTACACAACAGAACAACAAAAATTAAACTCACGAAGGGAAAATAAAGCGTCTGACTTTATGGTTTTTTTAAAAAAAGTTATGATATAATTTGGTTAAATCTGCTTCATGAATGTAAAAGAAACAAAACATATTTTGTAATATAGAGAGAAAAGCAGAGGAAATAAAAATAAAAGCTGCATCGTTTCCTAATAATTAATGATTAGCTCATCTACATTAATAAAATGACCCAACTTAACTATTCATAAATCATCATCAGTTTTTTAGTCTCCTCGTTTCAGTGTGTGTTTCCAGTTACAGAGGATTGTTACAGGATCGCGCAGGTTTTAGGAAAGTCTTCAGCTGCTGGTTGTAAAGGAACAGCTCCGCTGTATTTCTTTATGAATTCACTGAATTCTTCAGCTTTTCTTCTCGCTTCCTCTTCATATTTCCTCTTAATGTCTTCCATCTCTCTCTTGTACTTTACCTCTAATTCTTTTTTCTCTTTTTTGTATAGTTTTTTCCTCATTTTATATTTTCTCCTCTCCTGTTTATATTCTTCTTGAAGCTTTTTATGTCTCCTTTCCTCCTCTTGACGTCTCTGTTCATTTTCGTCATGTCGTTTTTCCCACCACTCCTTTCTTACCTTCTCCCAGGATTTGCGTTTTTCTTCCATTTCTTTTCTAATCTGTTCCAGTTTCTGATCAGATGCCGGCCTGTTCGTTGGTGACCTGATTCGTTCCTCCAAAGCTTCCCGTTCTTGTTCCCATTTCTTTTGTTGAAGTTTTTCCTCCTCTTTCTTTTTCCTCTCCTCTTCTTCTCTCATTTCATTTTCTTTCTTTCTCTGTGGATCATCTTTTTTAATCTTCCCCTTCATTTCACGAAGTTGTTTTTCTGTCAGTTCTGTGTCATTTACAGTTTCTGTCTTTATTTCTTCCTCTTGTTTTCTTTCAAGCTCCTGCATTTCTCTCTTCATCGCTTCTTCGTTCTCTTTCAGGATCGTCTCCTGTTGTTTCTGTATCGCCGCTTCAGCCTCCTGCAGCATCTCGTTGGTGAAGCAGCTGCCTCCATTTTCTTTCACCATGGTGTCAATCTTTGTTATCAGCTCATTGATTTGTGTTTGGCTTTTTTTATCATGGTTATTGAACACATGGTATCTTCCTCCACAGTCCAAGATCAGCTTCTTAAAATAATCATCACACCCCTTTTCAATGTACTCTTCAATGGACTGCTCTTCATGTTCCAGTGTATCTCCTCCTGTGAAGAGAAAGATGGTGAACTTCTCAGAATTTTTTCCAAAGAATTTCTTGATGAGTTCCAGTGTCGCCTTCTCTTCTGGTGTGCATCTGCCAATCTGCATCACCAAAAGGAAGACATGTGGTCCTGGAGCCAGGAGGCTGATGCATTTCACCAACTCCTTATGAACTTCATCATGAGACAAAGTTGAGTCAAACAGTCCAGGAGTGTCGACCACAGCAACAGGACGACCGTCCACTTCAGCATGTGCTTTCTGACAGTGTTTGGTGAGTGACATCTGGATTGCTTTGGCTTCAAAGACCTTTCTTCCTAGAATGGCATTTCCTGTAGAGCTCTTTCCACTGCCCGTCTTCCCAATCAGCACAATTCTGAGAGGGTCTCTGCTCTGTTTATCCTCATCTACAAAATAAGAACAGCTGGATTTAGAAGCTAGTTTTAAAGAAGAAAGAAAAAACAGAACATTATAATATAAGTGAATCATTATATATGGCATAAACAGGTATTTAGTCTAAGTGTACTTACAGGATTTAAGTTCAGCTTTTAGTGCTTTATTCTCCTTCTGCGCAGTTATAACTTGAGCTATTGTGGCATTTCCAAAAGTTTCTTTTGTATAGCAGCTTGGTTTATCTTTACGCAGTCTCATCTTTTCTGCAGTCTCCAACAATTCTGGGATCTTCTGTTTGTCCTTCATGTTGAGAACAAAATACCGTCCCCCACAGCTCTTACAGAGTTCCTGGATGTCCTTGTTTTCTTTTAGAAAGCTAAGAACAGCTGGATCTGTAAAATCTGACAATACAGTGAACAGAATCATGGTGAAGTCATTGACTCGAGAGCTGAATGTGTTCTGGATGGTCTTCAACTCTTCCTTGTCTTCATCAGTGAGGTGACCTGCAGGTAGGACCAGGATGAAGGCATGGACACCCTCAGGATCACAGAGGGAGATACACCTGAGTGATTCCTCCATCACTGCCTCCTGAGGTTTTCCATACAAGGCAGGCAGCTCCACCAGGGAAACCCAACGTCCACACACCTCTCCCTGATGTTTAACACACTCTGATGAGTTGGAGGCTGAATGAAGCTCAGTCTGACCTAAAATGGCCTTGGCTGCTGACGTCTTCCCTGCTCCTCTCCTCCCACACAGAACCAGGTTTAAAGATGGTTCTCGTTTTTGCTGGGGAGGTTCACTGGATTCATTTACCATCTTTTGAACCTTCTTCATTAATGATCTACAGTTACCTTTGTACATGTTGTAGTGTCTTCCTCCACATTCTCTAAGGAGTTCATTTACAGATTTGCTATTTTCATCCCTGTTGGTTATGACAGCAATGAAATGTTTAAAGGAATCTTCTCCAAACAAACTCAAGATGAACTTCAGAGTTTTTCTGTTCTCCTCAGTGAAATCAGAAGGTTTCACTAACAGCAGCAGAACGTTTGGTCCAGGAGGACAGAGACTCACACAGCTCTTCACTTCTCGTCTTATTTTCTCCTCAGACAGACCGAACATGTCGGGAGTTTTCACCACTCTTAATGATTTTCCTCTCCACTCTCCACAGGAGGCCACACATTGCATTTTTAGGGATTGTTTTTGGTGTTGAAAACTTTCACAACCAGTAATGATGTTACCAAGTTTGGTCTTCTTGTCCTCACTTTTCCCCAACAACACAATCCTGAAATCAGACACTGGAACAGAGAGAAAGAAAAGTAAAACAAATGCATCGGAGGCTGACGTCATCTGTGTTTTCATACTTTGGTTAAAATGTGATGTGATTATTTTATTTACTTATGTGTGATGTAAATTGTGTTCATATACAGCTGAATATAAAAATGGTATTTCCTTGATCCAGAAAAGTGGATATGAAGGATGTTGTGGTGGATTTTTCTGAGAAACTGGTGGCACAACAGATTTAAATTGAACAGATTTAAGATTTAAATGTCTCCTAACAGCTGTTCCCCAGCAGAACAACCTTCAACTCAGGTTTAGAAATGACAGCTAAACACATATTAAATATATTCAGGCATTTCAGTTTCCTATAGTGTATCAACTAAATAGCACAACCTCCAGAATAACACAGTTTGACTCACACTCTGGTGGAATGAAATCAAAGCTACTGCTGCGTCCCCGGGGAGAATGAGTATCTGAGAAGATAAAGATGAACAAATTTAAACAACATTAACTGGCATATTTACTAGAGATGGACCGATCCGATATTACGTATCGGTATCGGTCCGATACTGACCCAAATTACTGGATCGGATATCGGCGAGAAACAAAAAATGTAATCCGATCCATTAAATATCAAAAAAGCACCTCACAAAACTTGCTACACGGCGTAACTCAGCTCATAACCGTAGCACTCGCAGCAGTATGCATCACGTGATAGAGCGGCTGTGTGTATTTGTAGCCTCACCAGCATTTCATCTCCGAGGAAATTATCCCCGAGAGAAGTAAAGCAAGTGTGTAAGTTCATCTCTGAATGTCTGTAAAGCATTCCTGCGTTAAGCTTAACAAGCGACTGCCTCTTCTTGCTGCTACTTCAATTGTGAAACTGCTTAATGATCAGCTGATCGGCTTTTCTGTCGCGAGTCCGTCTCTCTGGTTTGTTTTTGGCCCACTTTGCACCAGAAAGAGGAAACCAGCGGCTGAACAACAGCAGCACGTTTAAGCTTGATCAGCTGTTGTTAGAATTTATTTATTATTACTTTCTACTCGAGGATCTTTTTCTACGTAGCTGACGCTGGTAACTGTGCAGGGGCGGATCTAGCAAAGTTTAGCCAGGGGGGCCGATAGGGCATGAACAGGGAAAAGGGGCACAAAGACATACTTTTCTTTCTTATTCTCATTTAAAATGTCTAGCTTTTAATAAATAATTATCTTAATCTTATAACCAAAGTTTTCATGTCATGTAAAATATATAGAAGTCCATTACTGTATATAGTAACTTTTAAGTCTAATATACCCTAGTAAGCTATAGTACTTTTTCCTTTGGGAAGGTACCATCTGTGCAGTCAGCAGTTCTGTTGAAGAAAGATGTTGAATCTATTTAATTATTCTTGAAAAATAATAGATTTCTGTGCATTTTTTTTTTCACACTGCATCAAATTAAAGTTGATTATATCAATTAAGCATCATGAGGTGGAGGGTGGGGGGTGGTTCCCTATTTTTTTTTGCTGGGAGTTTGCAACCCTATTAGTTAGGTTGCTTAATATTTCTGCTAAGTACTCTTTAAAATACCAGAATAGGGAGGATGGAGCAGGTTTACGTTTATTAGATTGATCAGTTTTGCTGAACTATGAAATATTTTGGGCGCAGTGTATTTTTTACATGCAGGTATAACAGAATAGCTTTAGTGCTGTTTATTTAAACTTGAGTATGAACTTATACAAAATGCAGCAAGATATTAAAAAAACGTTTTATTGATTAAAAACACACTATATCGGATTCATATCGGTATCGGCAGATATCCAAATTTATGATATCGGTATCGGTATCGGACATAAGCCCTGTTCTGAGATCTCTGCATTGGCTACCTTGTCAGGTTCGAGCAGATTTTAAGGTCCTGCTGCTCACCTACAAGGCTTTAAATGGACTGGCACCTTCATACCTCTCTGACCTTTTACATCTTTACGTTCCATCCCGTGCTCTCCGATCTCAGGACTCTGGCCTTCTAAAGGTTCCTAGAGCCAGAAAAAAGACAATTGGAGAGCGTGCTTTTTCTTTTCGTGCCCCGTTTCTGTGGAACACCCTCCCTCAAGATGTTAGGCAGGCATGCTCCGTGGAGGTTTTTAAAACTAAGCTGAAGACACATTTGTTCACCTTATCTTACAAGTCTTAATTCTATGGCTTTTAGTTTTTAAATTCTTACTGTTTTTAACTTCTATTGTGTCTTTTACGTGTATTGCTATGTATCGCTTTTTTTATCTCTTTAGTTTTAAACAGTTGTACAGCACTTTGTTTGAAAGCGCTTTATAAATAAAGTTATTATTATTATTATTATTATTATTATAAAAAAGTGGTATCGTGCCATCTCTAATATTTACATGTAATCTGAACATTGCTGGTCTTTAGGCACAGCCTACTACTTTTCTTGCAATTCTCAAAACAGCACAGAACAAAAACAGTTTATAGACACTGACACAGAGTTAGGTATGCAGGGAATTTGTATAATAAGTTATTGAATAATATTTATCAAACATGCAGTACACACTATCCAGTTCAGTGTCGGAGCTTCTTTCCAAAACCTGAGAATCTGTCTGATACAAGCCTCTAAAGCAGCCATCAGTACTCCCATTACAGACTTAGTCAGCTACAGTAGGACCCAAGGAGACACAGTTCCCACTTAAGAAACAACCCCAGGTTTCTCTTCAGCACTGTAGCCAGGCTGAAAAAAAGTCAGAGCAATGTTGAGCCAACCATCCCTTTAACGTTAACTAGTAATGACTTCATGAACTTCTAGTTCAAGTTCAAGTTCAAATTTTATTCGCCACATGCAGTGGCAGGTTGCCCTGCAGTGGAATGAACCTGCCCCCCGACCTTACACACACAACACAGACATCACATGGGGATACAAGTCCGAGAACGGTTGCATTACAGAAAAACACTGAAATGTACACTACAATGGGAAAAAGTACAAGAGGAAAAAACAGAGACCTCTACTCATGCTGGGCTACAGGAGGACAGCATGAGAACAGGAAACAAAAAAACTCCTCTGCACAGAAAAGCACATAAATGTCCACAGTACAACAATATGGAGCATGTGACCAGCAACAGGGTTGGGTAAAGGGTGAGGAGTAATCCCAGGCAACACAGCAGCCATCCTGCCACTGCGCCGTCTCTCCAGCGCGGGCCCAGACCCGCCTCGTGTTCCCAGGAGGCAACAAGCATCGAAGGCATTGGAAGGGGACGGGGGATGTGTGAATGATCAGTGTAAGTGTATGTGTGTGCGTGTCCATAGTTCAGCTGAGACAGTGTCCTTCACCCTATCAGGCTAAGTAAACAGTCTGCTAGCCAACCCAGGTGGCCTTGCATGGGATGGGAAGAATAGTCAACACACAGTCATTATCAGGGAGTTGTTGTTCGGCTCCAGCCTTGGGCCCGTGCAGCTGGCGCCGTGATGTCCGCATGTTAATGTTGTTGATTTTTCTTTTATGCAAGCAGCTCAGGAGAATTTTAAGCTGTTCTTTAACACTCTGACGCTGGTCTCTCAATCTCCCGTTGGAGAGCCGCGAGCCTCTCCATGATGGTATCAAACTTCTGTTCCGTGGTGTTGTCATTCTTTTGATTCTGAGACCCCACAACTGCAGTGAGCCATTCTGAGATGTGATCAAACTTTCGCTCAAGGGTCTCATTTTGAGCAGGCCTCTCTCTGATGTATCCCAACATACGCTCAATGGTGTTGTTTTGAGTCTTCACGGCAGCTGTAAGCATCTCCAAGGTGTTAACCATGCTGCGGTCGTTGTGAGAGGTCACAGAGCGGGCAGCCTTGGGGGGTTTGAACAGCTGGTTCCGCTCTCTTATTTCTCCAATAAGCCAGTGCCAAGACAGCTCCGATCAGCAAGAACCCTGTTATCATGGTTCCGAATAGGTAGATATCTTCAGCGTCCTCGATTGACAGTCCCACCAGGCACATGACCCTCCAGTTCTGCCACCCGTCCATCGTGTATCCGGCAGGGAAAGTCCCTCCAGGGCACTCGGGCTCTCCCGAGCCCAGACTTCTCGTTGAGAACTTCTTTACAAATAAAATTTTTATCATTAGAGAAAAAAATTACTCATAATATACCACAGGCCTTCAAGCTGGCTGTAGTTAAACCTTTACTTAAAAAGCATCTCTAGACCCAGCAGTCTTAGCTAATTATAGGCCAATCTCCAACCTTCCTTTCATATCAAACATCCTTGAAAGAGTAGTTGTCAAACAGCTAACAGATCATCTGCAGAGGAATGGCTTTCTTAATTCAGATCAAACTGCACTGTTAGAAAAAACATCTTAAAAAAACAGTAATATTCCAGCAGCTGGGGCGCCAAAATAATACCGTAAAATAACAGAGAATAACTTTCTCATAAAAATACGGTTATTTCCAGTAATGAAAATACAATTTATTGCCCTAATTATACATGGGATTTTGCCTTTTTCAAGTGCTTTTAAACATTAAATTAGGAACAATTTAATTTGCTTCAACAATGAAATTACCTATAAACAAGGTCAA